GTATATCGTTATTGCACATGTTTTAATGGTTCATCTGGATGAAGTCTTAAAATATTTGGAAAACCAGACGAGCTGTTTTAAATTTAATTAGAATCTCCGACGGCAAGCTATTCTGAAGGCGTACGGAAAAATACTGGATAACTATCTCAATTACGTTTTATAGTTTATATTTGAATGTATGTTTGACGATAAATTAAGGAAAGTTGGCTGGCAACAGCTTCTTTCCGCTTAAAAAATTTGTTAGTACCTAGGAATACGAGAAAAATGTAGGTCAAAATTTGTGCAATTGATGCTGTGTTTCTGCAGTGACAATAAGACCTAACGAACATCCAAAAAACCCGAGGAAGCTACTACTCTTAAGAACAACCTTAATATACAAAAACATTTTATTAAATTTAGCCGATATCTCGTCTAGGAATTTTGTTGCTATTTTTCTATGTCTGCTTCGCGATTTTCACTGGGCTTAGTAATATTTATTTTTGTTTAGCTGTGTGATGTTTCGCGGATATACAATCATTCAACTGAAACTTACAACATGACACTCACTAGTTCCCGTCGATGTTTGCATAGTTTTCCGATACATCAACATTTTTTGGCTGTCAGACCGTACGTTTATAGAAATGTGATAATCATTAACAAATATTATACATTATATTCACATGAATGTTTCTGTGAATCACTTCAAATCTCAAGGATCTCATCCACGTGTATGCCGGCATTTAATGTGGCCAAACATCCAAAGGAAAGTCTCAACTTTACAGAAAGGAAATTGAGGTTTTACTGAAATAATTGGTACGAATCTAGTTAGTCATCCATCAGTTTGGACAGACAAAGGAAAAATTTTATACTTTTGATAAATACAAAAAGCTCGACTGGATTAACTAAAAAGAATCAAGTTTTAATAGCGCTATCAAGACGAATTTAAGGACACCTCACATGTAAAGATTCATCAAGCCGTTTGGTCTGTAGCTTGCCAAAAAGATTTTTTCTTGACCACATACATATACTCGCGAGAAACATACAACCCTCCTACTGAGACTCTCGGGTAAGAACAAGAGTATTGTGTCATAAGGTCTCATTTTGGTGCTTCTCATCCCATTCCGAGTTTGTTGCTTTCGCCTCATTAATGAGATCAACTTATAATATCATCAACCACGGCATCATTTCCGATAATTCTCTCCACGCTTATACTGCCAACAAGTCCAAGATAGTGTTTATTTTCGGAGTTTAGTTGTGGTGTCTCTTTGATGAAACTTAGGACCTTCGTTAATATCAGCTGAAAAGAGAATTGATGTACTTTGACTACGAGATCTCACTAACCGCGGTTTATTCAGTCAATAGCTGAATCACCGATAATAAATAGTTAGCCAGATGTCAATCCTAAGACCACAACCAAGGCAGCGCGGGATCTTTCAAATGAAATAATTCAACGTGGCCCAAACACACTTACTGTTCTCGTAAAACATACAATTCGGACGTCTATTGAAATAAGACAGCACAATGTGCCATCTATTACGAGAATCGACAACTGCATTGTTAACCGGGTCACCACAGATATCCATCAGAATCAGCGGCATCTAGCGGCCAAAAGTGGTTTTCACTCTTGCAGAGGTTCGATTCTGGTAATAATAATATTTTGTGGTGTTTTATTTCGATGGACCTTATACTCTGGATATAGGATAATTGATCAGCTTTTGTTCATTGTCTTTGTTAAGACCAAGCCTAGACTATGCTGAGGAGTTGCAAGATAGCACAAAGCAGCTGTTTATTCAGATGTGTTGCAACAAATATCCTAACAGACTGGCGATTCAAGCGTAACTCCTTTGCATCCAATTTAATGAAGAAAAGGAGAACAACAAGACTTAAGATGAAGATTCCGCAGGACCTGTACAACACAGAGTCTAATAAAGCTGGAGTTACAAAAATAAGATGAGCAGAGAAAACGCGAAAATCAAATATACAAGATACATAAAGCCAGTTTCAAAAGTTATACTGGTCAATCCCCGGTGTGGCGAAAACCGCAGTTTTACTGTTCGACAAATATTTCATTACTGATTAATATAATTCCTAAAAGCATTCTTGTAGTTACATCTCCGCACTTATTTATCAGATAGATATAAAATGTATCGCCATTATCATTTTATACAAACAAGTGTTGTTTAGTGCTCATTAGCGACTCATCAGTGTGGTATAGATAGTAGGTCTAGTGTGTTTGCTTCACACTTTGCCTGACCCCAAGACTAGACCTTAGACCTATACTACCGTACTTACATATGAGAGGCAGTTAAGTTCATTTAATGTTATTTTTTTAAATTTTGACACCAATACAATTCTTTTATGATTACGTCATTTAACAAAAACATATATTTTTTCTTTTGTCAAATATTTCGTATTAACTACATTTTCTAAACATGAAAGCAGCAATACAATTTACCAAAGTAAAAAAGCAGTAATTTTCAAACCATATTGCTTTTATTCTCTCTACAGTGCTGCCCTTTAAAGCTTTGTAACATATTATGATGTTTACCTATTTAGTTTTTGATGTAATGATTCTATAATTTGTGAATGAGTATTCATCGTTACCAATAATTACTTTTGCTCCGAAAGAATAATTTTGAAAAATATTCTTCGTTTGACTTAACTTATGTATAAGAAAACATGCTGCTTTTAATTCATTTATACATTCATTTTTGTTGAATGTAAACATTAAATGTAATTATAGGCAGTATATTTGTTTTGGCAGAGTATGAAAGCCTTAAGTCACATGTTACTAGTTTTTGACTTGCGATAATAAAAGACAAAATATCATTTAAGTATTGTCAACAATTATGATCCGAAATCACATTTTGTGCCGCAATAATTTTGTCAGACTTCGATTTTCAAGCTTTACTACCCTTCACCTAAGTACGGCAGTATACAAACAGATATGATCTGCTAATAAGCACGAAACAGCTCTGTCTGTGGTTGGTTAAAGTTACAGAGACGGAAAGCAAACATGTCCATTTCAGCCATTGCTGGTTTGTTTTGTGAATACTTAGTATTCCGACCACATGTGAGTAAGTATTTCTCTATGGTCTTCATTGTATGGAATGAAGATGAGAATCAGTTTTGGCAAACCATTGGTAGGTCGCCATCGTCAAGTTTTCACCTCATAGAGCGCCATATGTATGGTTGGCTATCTTCAGGTAGAATAAGTTAATTAATGCTATGTGGTATCAAGTTACTATTGGATTTAACCGTGATTAGGACTAAGATTCTACATTCCGAAAAATTCGCGAAAGTGTTTCTGTGTTTCATTTCCTGGGATGAGTTATGCTCTGAAAATATGCACACACGGTTCCCTACACTGCCCGTGTGTTACTTATATTGAAATAGGCGGTATGCCAAGCCTTTGTACATAAATCAATATGACAGTGTTACAAATATCGTTTAATTATGAAAACCATTTTTATAAACTAAATTAACACCCTGTATTTCGAAAATGGAACGATTCCAGGCGTGTACGTTCTTGAAATTACGTACTAATTAGAAGGACAAACCATATCAAGTAGTCTGACTAGGTACGAGAAAGGCTAATCTGAATATGTGCGTTTCTTTCTTGTGTATATCCCATACTCTGGAGCTTGGGAGAAGAATATGGAAATATTTCGAAGCTTTCACAATTGTCGACATGTCAAAATGATCAAACTGTTAAAAATTCTAAACTCTAAGCCTCACATTCTTCAAAATCTTCATGTTTTTAAGGTATGCAAAACTTTAATGTCTTCAAAATTATTCACGATTCCATATATTGAATTGGATTGATATTTTGGAAAGCTTTGGAAATTCTGATTGCAAAAATTTTGAACATGTTGAATAGATTTTGAATATCTTGAAAATTTTCATATTTCTCAAAAATTTAAAATCATGTAAATATTTTTTTTAAATTTTAGAAATACAGATTTTGTAAATTTTTGAAATCCTGGAAATGTTTGTAATTTTGAGAAATTATGGAAATTTTAGAAACGATGGAAATAATGGAGGTTTTGGAAATTCTGGAGATTTTAGAGTATTTCAAAATTTTTGATATTTTGGAAATATTGTAAATTTTCGTGAATTTTAGGAATCATAAAAATTTTGGAAATTTTAGTAATTTGAAAATCTAAAAACTATAAAAACACTAACAGCTGTTACAGTCTACTGTGAAATGCAAACGTTAAATCCTCCCTGGAAAGTACTCAAGAAAGGTTTTTTCAAGCCAAAAGAGATCATTACTCAAACGGCACTCAACCCTCAAGGACTATAAATGTGACCCTAAGTGCCTGCAAAGGCTCTGGAGAGTTTAGCAACGAAGCACCTGGTATAGTTAGTGTGAGTACCAAGATACCCTGGGCTAAGGGAAATTGATATGATGGAGGAAATCGCAAAAAACGGGATCAGAAGCCCGGCTTGTTGTTTCTGAGCCGGCCCTAGGGATGCTCGCGCAAAGAGTTAGGAGGATCAGGGATCACTCTCTCAAACCTGTCCGTCAGGCACGGGAGCTCATTTTACGACCTAGAGCTAAGAATGGACGTTCTTGTTTACCTCTATACAGAAGCAACCTAAGAGTGTTAGTGGGACTGTTGTCTGATCGTAACACATTGAGCCGTCACTTATATGGGATGAGGGTGGCTGAGAATCCAATGTGTTCGCGCTGCCATGTAGAGTTGGAGTCCATCGTCGTATGCTCTGTGCAGCTGCGAGGCTCTGGAATACTACATACAGACTATACTGGGGTCTAATGTCTCGATACATCAATATTACATACTCGACATTAAAACTGCTTCACTTGATTTCAACTTAAATAGCCTGAAAATTAAGTTAAATAGTGAAACCCTAATCAAAAAAACCTTTTAGACAATGAAAATCCGAGAAACAACATACCAATCATCCACAATGTCTTTAGATTTCAAACAACAGCTCTTTTCTTTTTCGGTACTCGAGTAAGAGTCAATCTACTTGATGCCATTTTTTTATTCCAGGCACGTACCAAGGACAATGGATGCGCGGCATGCGACACGGCTATGGCATCCGCAAAAGCGCGCCGTTTGGCAAAGCTTCCAAGTACCGCGCGAGCAAAGCACTGCGCGCATCGCTGACGTCACTGCGAAGCGACGGCGAGGCAGGCAGTACCGCGGTGGGCGGAGGAGTGCCAGCGGACGCGGCCGAACGGCGGGACAAGCGAGTCGACGACAGCCGAGGCGGGTTCGTGCTGAAGATGAACAGTACCGAACAGCAGACGAGGAGGCGGAGTTTAGGAGGGGGCGGTACCGCTGGCGGTGTTGCTGTCAAGAGAGGCATACTTTCTGTAAGTGTGTTTTCTGTATTTCATGAAACAGTCCTCTTAAATTGGACGTAAGGTGGTGCAAAGTTTAGGAGAAGACGCCAGATAATCCTACTGGAAAATAGTCAATCAATGAAATGAACAATTGCCATCTTAATGATCAGTAGTTTCTAGGGTGATACAGGACAACTTCAGTACTCCACTCATCGATGAAGAAGGCGGAAACTTCAATTTAGATACTTGGCGACCTCAAGCATTAGATCGCTTATAACTCGAAAATGGTCAGATTTGGGGAAAAGTTAATGAGAGCTTTTTTGTTCGGAATTATCCGGAAAGCTTGAAAAAACTGAAATTTGATTTGGGTTATCGTGCGGGTATATTCAATGCTTAAAGATTCGGTTAAAAATTATTATTTTTGAAGTCGCTATGTATCTAAATTAAAGTTAAAAACTTGACGTTGAAGAATATTTTGGGATTAGTATATTTTAAACCATTTCATTCTTCTTCTTTCAGGCCAAAACTGGCGAATTTTCGGTTTTCGCTGACTGTGTATGCGTTATTTTTGTCTAGAAGAAGATGGACAGGGTACCAAACTGGTCCAGTATCACCCAGAACATTTTGTGCCTTATGACCAGTCCAAAGTCCAAAAATAGTTGGTGAAAAATATGGGTGTTTATTAATGTGTATACTAGGGTGCCCCAGGAGTCGACGTTAAACCGGAAACAGTCAAAATAGTTACAAAAAAGTATACAAAAATTTAAGTCGTGTACCTTTCAAATTATAGGCTTTGAAAAGAATCGGAAAAATCTTCACCCTTTGACGATCCTTTAGTTCCCAATACTACAAATTTCAATTTTTTCTTAGACGGAGTGACAGACAGTGTCATTCTACGTAGTGACAGCAAGACAGACAGTAACGCCACTTTTATTAATTCATGATTGTGTAGTGCCACCATACAGGAATACGCCGACACGCACTTCATTTATGGGGGATGTAGATTAGATGCAATGCTAGTGCTGCAGCTCGGATTTATCGTGAGAGGTACCCAAATGCTGCTCTTCATCCCGATTACCGAGTGTTTGTGAATGTGCACTGTTTACTCTCATCCGGACGGTTCCTAAACCAAGCACATGCTGAAGGAAGAATTTTCTTTCCTTACGAGGACGCCGTACTACTAGCAGTTAAAGTAGACCCGAGTACCTCAGTATGTCAAATAGAAGCAAGCACGGGAGTGCTCAAAAATACAGCCCACCGATTCTTGAGAAAGAACGAGCTCCACCCATACCACGGATAACGAGTACAATCTCTACTACCCAGGGTGTATCTTACCAGAGTTGAGTTTAGTCAAACAATGTTGCACAGACACCGGGAAGATCAGCAATTTTTAGAAACAGATGGTTACATGAATCTACACAACTTACATGAGCAGCATGCAGAAAATCCACATTTAATGAGACAAGATAGATGACAGTGTCGTTTTAAAGTAAACATGTGGACCGGAATTCTAAATGAGCGAATCATCGTACTCTTTGACCTGTCCAAGTTCCTGAATGGCGAAATTTATCCAGACTTTTTACAAAATCATTTACCAAATTTATTGGAAGACGTGCCACTAAGCTTTTACAGAGACATGTGATACCAACAAGACGGCTGCCCGACGCACTATGCCCGATCAGTAAGAGCCGTATCATCAGACGCCTTTATGGCCTTCATGATTTTCATAGTTTTCTACTGTTCCGTCTCAGCGCTCTATTTTGAGGTTATGTTACAATCTATCTGCACCAAATTGCTGATTTTTTTATTTATATCATCTGTTATATCAGCCTAAAATTCAAAAATAAAACGTAGCCTCACAATAGAAGAGCGCTGACGCTAACACGGAAAAGTAGGAGTCTAGAAATTCCCCAGCCATTCAGAAGGAGAGAAAAGACTAGGCCTTAAAGGCGTCATACAATTGTAGGAACGACTGAGGATACGGCTCTAAGAGAATATCTTGATGCGGAATACACAAGCAAATGGATAAGGCGGTCTAGTACAATTTCACCTGACCTAAGTCGACTCGATTTTTTTACTGGGAAGCGGTGAAATAAAAAAATTACTCAAAGCTAATCGAAAACTTAACTGAGTTGCAGGACAGAATAACGGAAGTGGCTGTGTCTGATAACCTGATCATTTTTAAAAAGATGTCAGGCTTGCATTGCTGCTGAAGGAATCAGCTTGAACATTTATTGTGACTTTAACAAATAGTACATTCACGGACTAATAAAAGTGACGTTACTATCTGTCTTGCCGGCACTACGTAGAATGCCACTGTCTGTCACTTAAGGCCGTATCATTAGTCGTTCCCACATTTGTAGGACGCCTTTATGGCCTCCTTGATTGTCATAGTATTTTATCTCCTTTAGAATGGCTGGGGTATTTCTAGATTTCATCTGTTCCGTATCACCGTCAGTGCTCTCCTATTGTGAAGATATGTTTTCTTTTGAATTGTAAGATATTTCAAGCTGACAAAACAGATGATATAAACCCAAAACAAGAAAATCTTGATGCAAATAGATATTTGTGACATAACCTGAAAATAGAGCGCTGACAGGGAACAGTAGAAAATTGTAGAAAACAATTTTTAGTACATAGGATGCATAAATTACGAATATGATGTCAGTATCTCTTTGAGGTCGAAGGTACGCCTTGTAAGCCCCATTTTCCACTCATAATAGGGCTTGGTGATGATTTAGGATTGTTTTAACCCTGTATTCGAAATCAGTGTTATAAACAATCACAATGTACCGAATTTCGTTTGCTTGTAGATTCGGCGAACAGAAATGTATCAAAAAACTTTACAGGCATTTTATTCAAAGTCATTTAAAAAATATTCCATATCTGCAGTGACAGGTATGTTTACGCATAGGCAAGTAATAGTTAATCTGCAAATTAGCGAATTCGTCTATTAGTCTATTAGGGAGGAGGTCCCCCTGGGCGCTCGCCTTATACCCGGTAAATCCGGTAAGTAGTACGTCTTTTTCGAAAAATTTCCTCGTTTTATCTATGATTTGTTGCTGACTAACAGGTAATAATTTATAGCAGTACTTTGCAGTAGCAGTCGAGTACATTTTGATTTCACTGCTGAATACCAAAGTTGAGTAAAACAGTTTCCTAAAATAAAAATTTCGAAGAAATTTTTTTGTCAAGTTTACCTAATTGTATTTATCGAAAATGATCTTTCAAACGGCAGACCAACTATCTGAGAATATTTTGCAAAAAAAACAAACACATGTCCTGTTATTTCTAAGCACAGCAACAAATGATGTGAAAAATTAATATCTCAAAAACGGTGAAACTTTTACTGGGGTCATTTTTTGGTATGTTGTAGATCTGCCATTCGCCTATCGTCCCTATTTGTTGTCGTACTATTTACCGGTCACCCTGTATATAAATGCCGCTGAAGTAGACTGACATATCAGCAGAAAGGCTGATAAATTGAGAAACTTCCTAAAAACGCAAAAACTGAAATGTGAGCTGTATATGGCGTGTGAAACCTTATTCCATATAATAAAGGAGTTTTCTTATAGGGTCTAAAGCTAAAAAAACAACGAAGCACCGGCGACCTGGAGAAGCGAGGTAGCAGCGTGAGGTCAACGGGGTCTTCAGCGTCATGGGTGAGCACCGACTCCGGCCAATCAGCCATGACGAACGCATCTATTCCATCTGATTCCAATGCTAGTTTTGTCATAGAGGTAAGTGCAATCATGTACAAGAAACATTTTTCTTTAAGATAACACCTCCCGCGCAACATTGCAGTTTTCAACGGCTGCAACGTACAGGAAACTTCCTTTTCAGACCTATGAAAGTGCGCTCAAAATAGCAGTCAACAGTGAAATAATGGCGTCAAGTAGGTTGACTTTGCACTTCCCGCGCAACGTCGTCATCAGTTAAAATGATTATGTTCCGTACAAGCTAGACCCTCTGAAAGTTAGCTAAGAACATGTATAAAATAGAACAGTTGAACGGATCTAGTCAGTCAAACAGGCGCACACAATTCTTTTTGTATTTTACGGGTACTCCATCTGGCAACGTCGCCTCTGCGCGATACCTGACCGTTTATAAGTTTTAAAGGCAAACTCACGCGGAAATCTATGATTTGTACAATATGTTTATAATTTCTTTTCAAAAGTGATCCTGTGAAACATCCCAAAACGAAGTTTGAATGGTTTTTATGTTTTTTTTCCGTTTTTGGGCTTTTCCTTCGCCTCCACTGAACCGTCTCAAAAAATTTACAGAAAATGAGTGACATGTTTTTTCGTCGTCATATAACATCCAAAAAAAAAATATCTCATTTCGACATTTTTCGCGATTACAATACTTCGTTGCCAGGAGTGGGAAGTAAAAGTATAAAGAATATGTGCACACCAAGAAAAAAATAAATTGAAGTACCGTCCTCACAATCTTGCTTTTAGATACTGGTCAAACTTCGTCGCCATTTAATTCAAAAAGACAAATTTATTAACTTCTCCTTTAATTTGTAACATTCGGGCCCTCTTTATGTTCCTGCAAACGGCTTTCGTATGAGACAAGCAAACCTACTCGGCACGGGATGAAGACGTCCAAGGAAACGTTCTTAATATACCCACGAAGACATCAAAACAACAAGTTTGTTATTGCTATAGGAATGTGGCATTTTCAAATCTGATCTACGGACAACCAGCTCGGCTTACCAATAAGGCGTGTGGCGCTTGGGTTAGACACTGACGCGCGCCGTATCCTTTGCTGGAGGTAGGGTCGTATTTGATATCGCAGATTTTTCTCGGTTGCCTTAAGACTACTTAGGGTAAGTGTAAATAAAATGTTTTTGTTTCAGGATGAGTCAATGGACCCTAGTGTAACAGAAACGTATATGGGTGAATGGAAGAATGACAAGAGGAGCGGGTATGGTGTAAGTGAACGATCGGACGGTTTGAAGTATGAGGGTGAATGGTACGCGAACAAGAAGTACGGATATGGTGTCACCACCTTTCCCAACGGAGAGAAAGAAGAAGGTAAACTTAGAGTAATGTTAACCATCATGGTTTTTCAATATAAGATACATTAAAAACCTAATATGTACTCGTACATGCTAGGCAGATGCCCCTGGAATCTAGAATGCTACTGAGCAAATTGGAGAGAAGAAATACTCTTTAGGAAAATCTTATCTGATATAAATAAAGGAAAATATCTGAAACAATGTGCAACAGAGAGACTAAGTAAATCTGGGTCACCTTAAGCACTTACCCCCTCACCATGGAAGAAAATACACTTTACATAGAAGTAAAATAAGGAAGGTCAACTTTAAGATGCATAAGCTTATAGCTGCAGTTAGTAGCGGTAGTATTGGTGGGGAGGCAAAGCCTGGCAACTAGGCCACCTTTGACCGTTTTGTCGATCCTGCAGTATCAACACTGTACTACACTAGAAGTCATCTAATGTTAAACGAGCTCTAGCGATGCGGCATACTTATGTTTATTTTGCACCGATATGGTACGTGATATAGACAACACACAACACAGCATCCATGGCTCGAAATTAACTTCAGAGGCGGAGATTCGAACCAGGGTCTCGGGTCGACCGATTAGTAGCTCAACCCGTTAACCACTTGGTTACCCAGACAGCAGCAGTTAAATGTTGTAAAATCAAAAAACAGGCCGAGCAGCCTGTTACGACTTATAGAAACAGTAAAGGAACAGAGGGAATTAAACATAACGTTTATTTTGCCTTTAAGTAGGAGAAGTATTAGCTATCAATATTGCTTAAAAGGAAAAATCACTAGAAACATGTACGGTGAGTGTACCATGGAAGGCTACGCTACCCTATTACCGAATTGACTAAGATTAGCAGAACTGAAATAACCATCCTCAGCTAGACTGTTCCACAATTCTGACATCCTAGGATCAAAGGATTGGTCGTACCGGCCAGCTCTCGATTTGGGAAGTTGGACAAAGTTGGGACGGGAAGCAGAAGCCTGGCGGTCTGTCAGGCAGACTTAACGCGCTGCTCATCGAGGAGAGGTCTGATGAGCAGATCCTATTGACATAGCGGTAGAAGAGAGCAAAATCGTCGACCGTCGGCGTCCGTTAGAAAAGTGTCATCGATCAGTCGATTAATCCTCCTCTAAACAGCATCGAGTATGAGGAGTCGGGGCGGCACTACCATAAATATGTGAGCAGTACTTCAGGCTGAGTCTTATCTGGTTCTTGTAAAGAGTGAGATTATGCGGAAAAAGGTATTAAACAAATGCCCCAACCTTTCCCCAGCAGCTGTGTTTGACGAGATGTGTTCGTGTCAAATGAAGTCCACTATGCCCATATGGTAACGGGTTATTTACTACTATTCGTCATTTATTTGTCTGGGCGGTCCGTAGGACCTTTGCCCATTAGTCACTGTCTGATGTACGTTAGTCCAATCTGTCAGTCCTGGTTGCCCAGAAACCAGACAAAGTCAAGGCAAAAGAGAAAGGGAGAAGAACAAAGAAAAACAGATATGCTTAGTTTAAGAGGAAACACCTAGGCTTTTTGACTTGGTACACGGATTAATTTTGAGGTGAAGTAAACAAATTTTTGATTCGGTTTTGTTAGAGTGTAATTTTGAGTTTACTAAAGATTCACGCTAACTTTTGATTACAGTGCGAGCCGTGGCCTTGAATGTTTACGAACTTGCTCCACTGCGTAGTCCACTGAGTCACGCAACAGAGGGTTGCTGTGCGATTCCGCTTGACTATAACGTCGCTGCGCCTGAAGCTTGACATAATTCCTCAAGTAAGGAATGTCAAGGTCTCTGTGTAGTGTCTCATTTGAGACATACCATGGAGCGTTGCAAATTGTACGCAAAGTTCTGCTTTGCAGTACTTGAAGACTTTGCATGCGTGTCTTGGCAAGAAAACACCAAGCCGCACATGCATAAGTAATGGCTGGTCTAATAATCATTTTATATAGTCGAACTTTGTTTATCAAACTCAATTTGGAGGATCTACATAACAAAGGATATAGTTGCCGAAACGCAATTTGGAATTTTGTTTTTATGGATGCTGTATGTTTCTGCCAGGTCATGCCTTTATCAAGGGTGACACCGAGATACTTGGCAGAATTTGTCCATGGTACACGATTTCCGCCTACAGAAACCTCTGCTGGGGGGCCGACGTTTTTTGGTACAATAAATAGCCTGCGTTTTCGAATGATTAATTTTTATCAGCCACCGTTCCGCCCACTCTAGAACTTCGTCCACCGCATTCTGCAACCCATCGTGAACCAGATCACTAGTACACGACTGGGCGACAAGTGCAGTGTCGTCAGCATAGAGGTAGACTTCACAGTTGCTGGGGGAAGGGACATCATGGATGAAAAGCGAATAAAGAATTGGTCCTAGGACCGAACCCTGAGGAACACCGGCCCGTACTCGCCGTGTTGTTGACAAAACATTGTTAATTTTGATCCGAAACTTCCTTCCTTCAAGAAAGGATTTCAGTAATTTTAGAAGCCAAAAAGGAAAACCCTTTTGGATTAGTTTATAGAGGAGGCCCGCGTGCCACACCTTGTCAAAGGCGTTTGAGACATCCAAAAGCAAGATGCCAGTACTCATGCTAAGGGTGAACCCTCTGGTTACATGCTCCACTAGCCTGACTGCCTGTAGCTCGGTGCTATGCTCGGACCGAAAACCGAATTGGACGTCAGGAATCACATGGTGATTTGACAAAAAATTCTCAAGGTGACGATAAATCACCTTTTCGGCGAGCTTAGAAGGAGCTGACAGCAGACTTATGGGACGGTAATCCTGAGGAAATATCGAACCCACCTTCTTTGGAATCATGATGACCTCAGCAGTCTTCCACCCAGCAGGGAAGTACTGGATTTTGAGCGTCGCATTGATTATTGTCACCAAGTATGTCAGGGCTTTCGGCGAGAGCAGCTTCAACGCCTTGTTGGTGATTTGATACTCCCCAGGTGCTTTACGCACCTTGAGGTCTTTAATATGACTTAGTAACTCCGCTGGTGTGCAATGTGGAAACTCGGAGGGTTCCGCTAATGTGCTATGTGGAGCCTCAGACGAATCTTCTGAAGAAGAGTCATCTGAAGAGGATTCAGTGCCTCCGCTAACGCCGTTGGCCCTAAAATATATCCTGACGGATCGTACGATGTGCTGTTCCTCGTCGAGGTCATTATCGAGATCATAGTTGGGAGAGAACTGTTTTTCCATGGCATCAGCGAAAACCTCGACCTTATCCTCCGTTCTGAAGACTAGTTCTTCAGGACCGTGGATGTGTGGGAGTTGTTCTCGCTTTCCGTTTCTGAGTGACTTTGCGACCCTCCAGAGAGGAATACTTGAATCAAGCATTCCCGCCAGAAAGTCGCTCCATTGCTCGTTGCGGAGTTCGTGCAGTGCGTTTCCCACTTCATGGACAAGATTTGTAGCCCTACGAATGTCATCAGGATGACAAGACCTTTTTGCCTGCTTAATAGCGGCTCTTTTGTCAGAGATTTTTTGATGAATGTCCGCAGGCAAAAAAGGTCTGCCGTGTCGTTGTACAGGAAATACAGCTGCACGCTGTAGAGCTGCTTGAATGAAACTTGTCCACTCCGCTTGAGCGGCATCTATTCCAGACTCATCATCTATAATCGGGATATTGGGAAACTCTCTAAGGAGCAACTTGTATAGGTCCCAATCAATGCGTTTCCTTGGAGGAGCTGCCTCCTCAGAAGTTTGCTCATTGCCCACATCCAAGACAACAGGTAGATGGTCACTAGAGATATCATACAAGATTCGAGAAGAGATACTGTATCTACAGTTTTTAGATATCGCGAAATCGATGACATCTGGTGCCTGAAGATGGTTGAATGGATGATGTGTCGGCTCTTCAGTGCTATGTATAAGGTACCCATTTCGCATCACATGGTTGTACAATCGAACCCCACTAGTGGAATTCAACCTAGAATTCCATGCTCGATGTTTGCAGTTGAAGTCCCCTGCCACAATAAGCGGACCCGAGTAGTCCAAAAGGACCTCCAGATCCGCCTCTTGTAGCCTGGCACCACACCTGACATACACCGATGTGATCTTCAACGAGACACCTCCCGCCATATTGACCACCACAGAAGCTGCTTCGATGCTATGCATCTCCGCATTAGTGCTTCTATAATAGTCTATACCGCGTTTAATCAACACTGCTAAATCGCCGCCTCGACCATTCAATCTGTCACCTCGGATAACATCATAATTCGGGAGAGCTAAACGATCTCCCGGATTAAGCAACGTTTCCTGCAGCAAGGCCACATCTATACCTTCATCCAAAAGAGCTTGATGAAATTCCCGTTTTTTGGGAATATTCCTCATGCCCAAACAATTCCAAAAAAGAATTTTGATGAATGCAGGCTGTATACTATTGTACCTATACATTTACAGGAAATATCGCCTGCAACGCTTGGGTAGCGCTAATCAGTGGGCTTATTATTTGTTGTAAGGACCTTAGCGCGGTTGCCAGGTCCACATTTTGCGTGCTCAAAGGAGGTTGGGCAGAGGGGGCAGGCAAGGTTGCCTCCCGAGCTGCGTCCGCGTATGATATATTGCGCCTTTGCGCTATAACTTGCAAGTTCCTCCTTGGAGTGAACTTGCAAGTCCGGCTATTTGCGGGATGTCCCTCTCCACAGTTCGCGCACTTGCGTTCTTCCTCTTCTGTGAGGGGGCACAAATGCGTCATGTGGTCCTTTGCACATTTTAAGCATTTGGGCGGTGCAGTGCAATATTACTGCGCATGCCCATACTTTTGGCAGCGGTGACACTGCCCAATGAGTCTGGAGTTCTTCTGAACCTCAACTCGAATGGCCAGTCCCAGCAGTTCGTGTTCGTTGAACACTTGCTGAGACTTTTCTGCTCCAGTTCTCCCTTAATCTCAGTGTCCGAAAAGTTGACGGGAACTCCTCGAACCACCGCATGGATGTTCCGTTCCGAAGGGAGAGGGAAAGTGTGATGGGGCACTTCTTCCTCTCGGAATAGGCGAACGATCTTACGGTAGTCGTCCTCGGATTTAGGAATAATCCTTATTCCCGCATCGACGGCAACCGCGCGATGTATTTTAATACCTAGGGAAATAAACTTGAAATTTAAAGTACGCCATCTCGTCCCGTCGCGTAAGACGATTGGGGTTATGCGCCCTTGTCGTGAGGGTTGTGTTGATGCCACGACGGTTGGACGAGATGACGGAGGAGAAGTAAGATCGGCTGACGGAGTCACCTGACAGGTAGATAACGTGGTCCTTGGCTTGGTGATAGAAGCATTAATAGTGTTTCGATTTGATGAATTGGGGGAGGTGTGAAATGGAATTGATCCTGTATTCGGAAGAGGAGGAAAGTCTTGGGTTGATCGATCGGCCTTGTCGCCTTTCCTCCTTCTTGATTTTGCTTTTACAAATCCTTCAGTCTGTACGTCTTCGTCTGTGGATGTGAGATGACCATCAGAAACGTTTCTCAGTGGTCTTTTTAGGGTCTTTGTCCGTTCTTTAGGGGATTCTTTTGAATTTAGTAATATGGTTGCCTGGGCGGTAAGGCTGTCAATTCTGGCTGTCTGGTCCTTGATGGTCTCCATTAGGTCTCGAATCTGCCTCGCCTGGTCGTCTATAATCAGCATCAGTTTTTCGATCGTTTTCAGCTCCGATGACATCTGCGTCAGTGAGCTGTGTTTTCTGCTTCTGCTTGGTTTCCGCCACCGCTCAGCTCTTTCCTCATAGTATGTGGAACTGCGTCGTCTGTTGATCCTCCTGGGTCAACTTCCATCTTTTAAAAACTTTTTCTCGCCAACAAATCTCAGAAAACTTATAGCTCGCAAATGTGACAATGTTGTCAAAACCCTTTTTACAGGGCGTTTTGGGTTATTTACTTTCAATTCGCTGCAGCTGTGTTTGACGAGATGTGTTCGTGTCAAATGAAGTATCACTATGCCCATATGGTAACGGGCTATTTACTTTTACTTCGCGGCCCTCAGAACAAGGGACAATCGAGGGCATGTCTGCAATACATGAAAAGGAGCAGAAATGCAAGGATTGGTGACACGATCTACGTAAGTTTCTGCTTGTTGGTTTCCTCAGGCCCAAGACTTTGGTTGATACCTGATGGAAGCCACAAATATGCCTGCTGGCTGTTGCTAGTGGCTTCTAGTGGTATTTCCATTTCCATCCTTGTTTTCCTTCAAGTTGCACCAGTATCTAGATATGATGGGCATATGTTTTCAGTTGGGTATTTTCGATGCACATTCACTTGGGCCTGATGAAGCCAATAAGCAGAAACGTACGTCGCTCGGGTTACCAATCCTGCTATTTCTGCTTTTGTTCCTTTATTGCAGACATGCTCACGATTGTCGTTTGTTTTTTATCTAATTTTCCGCAAGACTACTTGTCTTTTTTTGTCCTTAAAACAGTTATTTGCAACTATTAGTGCATTCAACGTTGTTGAGTGAAACGCAAATGCATAATTTATACAGGTAAACTAATTTAAAAAAATGTGAACGTATAATCTGTCGTCCACCAGTTTACAATAATCCATCCATCTTATTTTCAGTTAATTTACTTAGAATTCGGGAGGTGGTGGGTTCAAATCCTTCCGGTATTCCGGAGTTATTCATCTTATTGTCTTTAATTCAGAATTTCAAGCGAAAAATGTAGCTCTTAGCGAGTATTTTTCACTTTACATCCAACGTTCATGAAATACGAATGTCGATATCGAGAGTACGTTCAGAAGATGTTGGTTGAATAACACTGTTTTTAATTATTTAGGTAAATACAAAAACAACGTGTTGATCACTAGTCAGAAAAAGAGGCTGTTCCTGATGCGCAGCGCCAAATTTAGGGAGCGGATAGACGCAGCGGTGAATGCAGCGCAACGCGCGTCGAAAATCGCGTTGCAGAAGAGCGATATCGCCATCAATAGGACGGCAACAGCGAGAGGAAAGGCTGAACAGGTATGAAAAAAATGGTCAACGCAACGCAACGTTTTTCTTTTATTTGATCGATAAATAGGGGTAACGATTTTTGTCGGCAATGTCAACGTCATACGACATACTGTCGACATCGTAGTTGTATATGCATGCGTTGCTATGTTTTATATCTAAGAGCAGAAGCAAGTGACAATGACAAGCATACACGTGGAAGGCTCATACGTTAAGAAGAAAAATTTCAATGCAGTGAGGAAAAATAAGAGCAGTGTGCCTGTGAGCTTGCACAAACGTCCAAGCAAAGAGGCCAATGTGTAAGAGATATGAACGTAATTCCCGTAATTTCATTGCGATCTGCCAAAAACAGTGAAAAAGCCACGAATCTGTATCATTGTTGTCACGTCTATTTATGCCAAGATATATGAGGTTTATTGTGAAAGTTCTGACAGATATCATGTGATCAAATGGTTACTATCTGGTTAAGGCGAATGTCACACGACCAGTCTTTACTGTGATGCAACAGCATCATCATGGAATGTGATATTTTTAGTGACCATGTGGCCAGAATGTCAGTCCTCATTGATGCAAGATTACGTAGAAATCCACTGACACGGACTGATCAATAAATACTAATGGTACCGACTGCAGTAGATATTGATCGTGTGACATTCTCCTGAAAGATTCTTTAGTTATTCAAGCACGGATAGTATTATGAAGCCAAATCCATCGAGTTTTGCTTTCTGACTCGAGTATCACTTTCTGAACCAGATTATAACATATACAGGGTGTTAACAAAGTATGTAGACAAACTTTAACCATCGAATCCTTGGTCAATTTGAAGACGAAATTTCCAACGGCTTTGTTTTCAAGCTAGAGCATATTAGCACTAAAGAAATGATGATATTGTTCTAAAAAAATATAAAATAATGGAACGTATTTTATTTTAATTAAGTATGCCCTGTGGTGAATATCACATGATTTAGTCGTTTGACACTCCATAGCCCCGTAGGTACGTATAATGTTATCCAATATTTTTTGGAAAAATAGCATGACATTGATTTGTTTTGATCGCAATACTTTTAATATTTATTACTTTTATTTATTTACTTTTAATTTACGACTTCGGTGGTGAGAGATAACAAGATTGACGCCATCATAACTGAATACATACCCTTGTTGAGAGAAAATCCAAAGCTTAAAACAGTATTTTTTCAAATAAATTCTAATGTATTTAATTTCATCACATACTTCTGGTGGCAAAACTGTGGATCTCTCTAATCTTCTGATACCTAGCGCTCAACAGGAAATCCAATTCACAAAAATACAACTGTACCACGTCCTTCAAGGCCTCAATCTGGCCCAAGCAAGTTTAAACTTGCTAAAGCCTAGAATATTGGACTTTCGTTCCATATATCTTAGAAAGTAATGTTTATAATTTCAGGCTGACGTATCAGCTGCGCATGCGCGGGAAGACAGCGACATCGCTGAGAACGTGGCGAAACAGTACGCGCCTGACTTCCGACAACCAGGCCTTGAAAGGCTCAAGGCCAGGCAAAGGGCTTATAGGGAGATGCAACGGCAAATGGACAGCGTCGATTTGAAACAAGCACAGATACAACCGAACAGGACGATAGAACAGGTACAACAAGTCTCACAAAATAATGTCACTATCTTCTCAAAAATCATACAAATTCATTCAAGGTGTGAAATAATAACCTGCAGTTGTATTATGTTAAATAATGGCTATTAATAGCGAACTGTTCGCCATGCCGGTGTGCCACTACAGTCTGGTACCACAAAGTTAGGGAGCATATCGCACACTAGTGCTGACGCGGCACACAGTGTATTTTAAAGTTACTATCCTAAACCATAAGATGGCTATGGCGTCACAACACCGTTTACTACCTTTACCATAGCATACTATTAAACTTGAAGTTTGTGGTATACCATACCGACACTATTCTTTAACAACAAAATTGGAGAGCTTCTGAATCCTTTGTGTTGTGTGTTGAAAATATTCGGGCACCGGAATATGGATCATAATAAAAAGAGTAAGAACTTTCACTTAATGTGACAGACATCTGTCATTATCGTTGTTTTCATCTACATCGTTATCGGATTACTATGTTTAGCTTCACTTCTTTAAGCTTGCAAACCATTGAGAAATGCAGCCTTATATGAATTGGATGGTCAGAATCTGGTATTAAACTTTTCCGTATTTTTCCTTTGAGTGGCCTTAAAGTTCTTTCAAATGCCTTCCTAGAGAATAGTTGAACTCTGATTTGGACTCAATGACCGCAAAATCATGCATGCCACTCGTGAGGAGTTATTTTCAATTTGTGCTTGGAAGGACCTCGAAACGACCTTCAGATGCCTTATGGTGACTAACAGACCTCTGATTCAGACTCAGTGAACAGAAAAACCTAAACAACATGCGGTTTGGATCCACTGCTCGTTTTTTTTTTGAAAATATACCTTGCTATATGACCTTGAAATAATCTCAAATGCCCTCGTAGAGATCCCCGATTTAAAATTAGCAATCAAAACAAAACATATTGTACTGAAAATCGTAGAACTGCCGTAGCAATTGTATTTTTGACAGCTTTTCGGTACTCTAGACTCTAGACCACTTGACATAGTCAATGCGCGCATATCCCACAGTATTCAAAGAGGTACCGCGCTAGCAGTGTTGCAGCGATGTTGTTTGCTGCTCTATTCCTCCCGGTATAGCCTACGCTACGTCTACTCGGAGTGAGCGCCACCTATGGAAGAATGACAACAACCTATACTCGTAGTATATAACAAACATCTTAGGCCTTCGCTAGGGCCATCTCTAAAGCAGATGTTACGTCGCATCATAGCCACAGCACAAAACTCAGTTATCTTAACGTTTAGGCAACACATACAGCTACTAATCGATCAGATCATTTTGTGGCTAATAAATGAGTGCTCGCTACCCATGAGCCAGCAGATATATCAAAATCGAAACAAGACAGGTTACAACACGCGAGAGTATTATCATCATTTGGAAGATGTTTATCCCGTCTCCGTCAATTCGTAGACAACTTACGCTTAGTTCTTCCTGCTAACAAAGTTGTAAATTTCTATTCATTTTTTTGCAGAACCAAATACCAAACCAGATACCAAACCAAATTCCAAACCAGATTCCGAATAAAATACCAAATCAAAACTCGTATCAGCTTCAAATGAACCAACCGAACCAAAATACCATGTCTCAGCAACAGCAGTACCAACAGCAAGCACAATACACGGTAAGTTACCACCTAGAAACAAATAGTGACCAATCTATGTGTTGAGGAGTCGTCACCCATTCAAAATGAACAGATATCAATCAGCAAACCTGTCTGGCAAACTGTCAACACCACTCTAGCCTTAGGAATTGAAGATCCGCTCACATGGTGCAATTGTCCAAAAAACGTTCTTGATAAGCACTGTGTCAGGAATGTATTACCGTTTTAGGGTTTTGGGATATGGTGCGGCTCAATATATCTGCTGCATACTGTGCTCTGTCAAATAGGAGTTACAAAAGCAATCTCCGTTCTAACTAGTGACTGGTATTTACCAAGAACCGATCGATCTAGTGATCCGCGGAGAGGCGAAAGTAGTCGCACATCGACTGTGGAGTCAGGGCAGTTGGGCCTTCAAAGGTCACACGACCATCTTAGTCGAATTACAAAGGGATGATCTCGTCCTTCTGAGCAGGGGTGATCTGATCACCCCTAAGTATCGCTTCAATCGCAAGTTCAATGTGGAGTATCCGACGAGGGTGTAGTGGGATTCCGAAAGGTCTCTGAAGAAAGTGGGCAAGTCTGGAACACAGATGGCTCGGTTGCTGAGGAGGGCTCTGGCGCTCTCTATTTTCCAGGCAGAAGTCTATGCGATTCCGGCTTACGAATCCCGCATTCTGGAGGGGAAAGAGCCTAGGAGAAGAATAAAAATCTTCTCAAACAGCCAGGTAGCGTTGAAGCCAATAAGTGCCTGCAAGATTACTTCGAGCTCTGTATTATAATGCAGGGAGGGTCTGATGTATATGGTATCGTTGAAGAGGGTACCGGGGCACGTTGGGAAAAAGGGTAATGATAGGGGTGTTCCCACAAAGAGTCAAGAGGATATCACAAATGTGGATTTCTAGACAACACTCTCTTAAATGAAGAAGTCGCTCTAGACACCTCTGTCATGCACGGGAGCTCATTCTGCTTATATTTGGATAGAGCCAACCCAAGGCCTGTGGGACTGTTGTCTGGCCTTAACACGATGAGGCGTCACCTGCATGTGAAGGGGGTCGCTGAGGATCCCCTGTGTGAGCGCTGCGGGGTAGAAGAAGAGTCCTTGGCGCACGTGTCGCTGTGAGCCTCTGAGCTACTACAGACCTATACTAGGTAGAACATTTTAGATCTCCAGAATGTTAAGAAGCTGGGAATTTAGTAGTGCATAAGGGCCCGTCATGTGGCATATTTCATTCATTCATTCATTAACAACAGTTCGTTAATCTGATGACAAAATTCAACTTCTTTCTCTTTTCCCATAATACATGTTCTAGGTTAGGAAGATTCACCACCTATTTGCTCTGCGACTCAACTGTCCTCTATAAAACTAGAACTGGCAGGTCAACTCACCTTCGTTCTTAAGGTGTTGAGAATACCAAACAGCTTAAAAAGTCGATACAATCCAAATCTTTCATTTCTAAAGAAATATTATGTCATAAGAGGCTAAACTATTTTCCAAAGGTAACTCCCAATATACATTTTAGCAGCAACAACAACAGCAAGTGCAATATCAGCAACAACAGCAACAGTACCAATCGCAGCAGTACCAACAGCAACAAGCCCAGTACCAGCAACAACAGCAGACGCAGTACCAACAGCAACAGCTGGTGAACAAAACGACAGGCAACCCCGGTCCGCCCCAACAAACCCAAGGCAACCCCTACAGTAACCCCCAGCCGCACTTCAACGATTATGGGCCCCAACTGGCGCAGAATTCCGTCATGGAAGATCATACGAATGTGAGTATTTGCAGACCGGTCAAAAAATCCTTCTATCATCAACTTTTTTATTTCCACGCTTCCGCAGTAGTAAACGATATATATTTTCTAAAGTAAATAGTGCAGATATCAAAGGCTTAGTTTTGTTGTGAATGAATGGATTGAGTAATCATTCATATTGTAAACATTTATCTGTATTGCGTAATACGTACCATTATTGCTAATGGGGTTACAAATACATATAGTACAGTGAAGTTTTCAGATAGCCGATTCAGTTTAATGAATAAAAAATTTAGACAAAATAAATTCCGAATTGGCTAATTGAATAATATTTATTTAAAGCAGAATCATATGAGTATAAAATGTGTCCTACGAAATACAAAGGTCGATTTTTTTTTTTGTTAATTTCGCACTACTCCAATTGCAGGAAACTCATACGCATCCCGGCATGTCTGAATGACAATCTGATATTGAAAGCCATCACGACGTCTCGTCAAGCAGGGGATCACTAATTGTTCTCCATGCTTCTATTAGCCTTGACGTACTATGCAAACTAAACAGGCTGAATATGATCGGTTTCCATAAATCATCCACAACCGTGAACCCATGTTTGTTCTATGCAACATTATCCCTACCGGATGCTGTATAGACGAGGGCTGCCCTAACGGACAGTCTCGGCGATCTAGCTTTTTCCTACCGCTACGCCAACGGGCTTTGCCCCTCAGGGCTCTCCTCCATAATGCCGCCGCGCGATGAGTCTGCCACACAGACCCGCGTGACTTCGACCTTTCATCATAACCGTGTAGAACTTCGTACATCCAGAACTGGCCAATACCACCACTCCTTTGTCCCTATTGTGGAACAATCTTCCCGAGGAGGCTTTTTCCTAGTTCTACTAACCTTAAGGAGTTCAAAAATCGGACGAACAAAGTTTCTTTAAGCCCCTCATAGCAGCCGCGGTGCCCTCACATTTAAGTTTCTGCCTACGCGTCTGCTTCGGTGTAAAAGAAACATCAAGGCTGTTACCATGGTAAGCACTTTGTGCTCCGCTGATTGACGAGACGCCTTACATGAGATTAATATATAAAATAATCACAATAACGGTGTACTGAAAGTTGATTCTTTCATTTGAAATAACAAATGTTTTATAGGATAAACTATAAACACACGGTAGGTGATTTTAAATTAACATAATCACATATGGATTACAGAAATTGAAATAAACATGAATAATCCTTCAGCTAAACTGAAAAAAAATTTATTTTCCTCATACATTAAGGCATTTTTTTAAATTTTGACTCAGTTTTGTAAAATTTAATAATATGTGATAAACTGATGAGATTTCAATGACAAGCTATAATCTCGTATTTTTACAGTGTTTTGTTTTGAATACTTCACTACTATTTGTTTCAAAAAATCTGACGGAGAGATCTCAAGGCCCATTGGCTATATTTGACAGACACTTTGGTACTGCTGCCCTATTGGTGGAAAATAATGCTTTGTTAGATTGACAGTCCTGGTGAAATCCACCCTTAATCTGCGGTAAAACAGCGCAGCCAAAAATGTAAAAGTGAAATTGAAAAAAGTACCCTTATGTTTATTTGATAAGAAATGTCATACATTTTGCTAGTAAGTACCGCTTGATTTTTACCGCTCGAGTCAGACACAAGTTTATTAACTTCTTCCTAAATTTGCAACATTCGGAGCCGTCTAGGCCTTCTACTGTATCTACCTCGACGGCCTTTGCACGATATAAACAAACCTATGCGGCTAGTGATTGAAGCATCCAGGAAACGATATAAATACATTAGCGAATACAGCATAATGACATACTCAGCGTGAACTAACATCGAACAAAGCAACTAAACCTAAACATATTTTCGCATACTTCACATGATCAGACTCCAGAATGCTGAGCACGAAGTTGTCATAGCAGTATTTTTGGATTTGAAGAGGGCATTTGAAACGACTGATAGAGATATTTTGTTAGGTAAATTGAAGGCAGATTGGTTTAGAAATTATTTGTCTAAAAGGACGCAAGTTACAAAAGTTAATGACACTATTTCATCAAAAATTGAAAATACGTTGGGTGTTCCACAGGGCAGTATCCTGGGACCACTTCTTTTTATTTTATACATAAATGATTTACCTGCCATAGTCAAAAAATGCAAAATTCAGATTTTCGCCAATGACACTATGATTTATATAAGTACTAAAAATATTCAGTCTGGTATCTCTTATATAAATGAAGACTTGAAACTTGTCTCAAAATGGTTAGTATCTAACAGACTAAAATTAAATACAAGTAAAACGAAAGCCTTGTTAATCGGAAAAAAACAATGTACACATGTTCAACTGAATATTGATGGTGAAGATATTGAATTCGTAGAAAATTTTAAATACCTGGGGGTTTTTGTTGGCTCTCTATTAATTTTTGATATTCATTATGAAAAAGTTACAAATAAGATTAGTAGTAAAGTGGGATATTTATCGAGAGTTTCTGGATGTCTAAGTTCATATAGCAGAAAAATTATCTATAATACCATCATTCTTCCAAATTTCTTGTACTGTTCGACTATTCTATATTTAGCAAATAATTCCATTTTTGAAACACTGCAAATTTTAAAAAATAAATGCATGAGAATAATACTAAAAAAGATAAATATACTCCAATTAGGCAAATGCTTAGCAAATTAAAATGGCTCAATGTAAAATTTTTTATCAAATATCTTGTAATGATATTCATTTATAAAGTAAAAAATAATATATTTCCATCGAGTCTAACTAATTTAACATCATCAAATGTCGACCATCATTTACATAATACCAGAAATAAAGATGACTTCCATTTAATGACCAAAAAGTATAACATATGCTACAAATCTGTATTCCATCAAGGGTTGATTGAATATAATAAATTATACTCAGAGATAAAAGACCAGAAAACTTTGACAAAATGTAAAGTAAAATTGAGAAATCACTTGTTAAATCTACAATTATAGGTTGTCCAGCATTTACATCATACACCATATTATGGCTTGAATGTACTAGTTCTAAGTTGTTTACAATTATTCTTTTGATATAGCCAAATGTGCTAAATAAATCTTTCTACTACTACTACTACAGGGCCGGCGAGGCTGCATATGTTTTCAAAAATTATCTGCTATGATCCGATATACTGTTTCCGAAATTTTATCAAAGTAAATTAAAAAAATATATATGAACAATCATACGTATACCGCTGGTTTCCTGTTTGCAAGCTTACGTTGTCTATGGCGTTTGATTGAAATAAAAGTATACATAATGTGAAAAAGCATTTATTTCTTCTAATTAAAAAAAATAATAGAACATTGGAGGCATATCAAATCTGTTATAAACAATTAGAATACTCTTGAAAACAAGATACATTCTAAAACTTTGAATAATGTATTATTATTATATTAATATTATTTTCCAACATTTTGAACTCGCAGTCGTTTTAATCGTACGAGATTTCGAAAACAAACGTATACTATATTAATACTTTTTGAAAAAAGGTCAAGGGAATTATATTACTCCGTAAAGAAACTGTATTACGTGACCTACTTATTTCACAAAGTCATGCAGTCATCAATAATGCAGTCATCAATAATGCAGCCATTTAGCACATGCTACAGACTAAGACAGTGCTAACTTTATAAACAGTTCAGCGCATTTCAGTATAAAATATTTATTTTTATAAACCTTGAGGCTCATCTGTGACCGTTTAAAAATTTGAGCTCTAAATATGTGTCTACAGGGTGGCCCATCCATGTGTGGACCGAATATTACTCATAAACAAATACATTTTGGGAAAATCTATTTATGGCATGTTCTACATTTCTCCTAATTAAAAAAAAATAATAGAACATTGGAGGCATATCAAATCTGTTATAAACAATTATAAAACTTTGAATAATGTATTATTATTATATTAATATTATTTTCCAACATTTTGAACTCGCAGTCGTTTTAATCGTACGAGATTTCGAAAACAAACGTATACTATATTAATACTTTTTGAAAAAAGGTCAAGGGAATTATATTACTCCGTAAAGAAACTGTATTACGTGACCTACTTATTTCACAAAGTCATGCAGTCATCAATAATGCAGTCATCAATAACTCAGCCATTTAGCACATGCTACAGACTAAGACAGTGCTAACTTTATAAACAATTCAGCGCATTTCAGTATAAAATATTTATTTTTATAAACCTTGAGGCTCATATGTGACCGTTTAAAATTTGAGCTCTAAATATGTGTCTACAGGGTGGCCCATGCATGTGTGGACCGAATATTGCTCATGAACAAATACATTTTGGGAAAATCTATTTATGGCATGTTCTACATGACATTTGAGGGCACATTTCTAAGATATTGGCAATTATACAGAGTGTCCCAATTTTTACCTACATATCAAAGCTGTGATTTTTTGAATGGAGTGCCTCAAATTTTATTGCATATTTGGATCAACCAATTCAAAAGAAGCAGATTGATATAACATACTATGGGCTTTTGGTAATTAGCTACTGAGATGTAAGGTGTTTCGTCCAGAAAAACTGTCCACTTAGGCAGCCCCTCAAACCGCCATTTTGATATTTGGAGTACTGAATTTTGTATTAAAAAATACTTACACACCTCAGCTTGTATCTTATTTGTTAATTTTTCGAATTTTCGTTTTTGCTCATACAGTGTGGTCAAAAACACGAATTGTACTTTTTCTCATAAATTTCAAAAGCATCACCCAGTATATTTGTGCATGTTTGGATTCAATTCTTTATAAGCTTTTTTATGATATACTCGTAAGGTTTGATTCAGATAAAATCACTGTATTCTGGGATATTAAGCTTGTAATAAAACAACACACCAAAATTAAGGAAAAAAACCACATCATCCATGGAAACAAAAGACAAACAGTGGGCTAGTTCCATATCGCCACTTGATGTAAAAACTAATAACAATCAGAACAGTATAAATCAGCGTCAAGCGTAATAGAAAAAAACAACTATCTATAACAACAACATAAACAAACAACTATCACTACTCAAGACCTAATCTACAAAAACTGCTGGAAAATATCTCCACTATGTTGAATACACCAGCCGTAGTCTTTGGATAAATGCCCGTTGCACATCCCTCAGCATGTGTTCCCTTATGTTCAGAAAAGTATCCTTAATCCGTTCCTTCATACTTTCCGGGATAGATGGTGGATATCTATAAACCTCTTGCTTAACGTAGCCCCATAGAAAGAAGTCCATCGGTGTCATATCTGGTGATCTAGGAGGCCAATATATAGGCTCATCACGACCGATCCAACGATTGTTACTCCAGATGTCCAAATAGTTACGCACACGATTATTATAATGCACAGGTGCACCGTCATGTTGGAAGCACATATGCATCCGACTTTGCAGGTTGTCATCCTCCAAAAGCAAAGACAAATGCTCGATCAAAAAATTCAAGTATACTGTACCTGTTAATCTGTTGTCGAAAAAGCAAGGCCCGATAACTTGTCTGCCAATAACATTCAAGCTCCATTTATTTTGGAAATCTATTTGCCTAACCCAGTAAGGGTTTTCCGTCGCATAATAGTGCATGTTATGCCTGTTGACAACACCTATGCTGTTAAAAGTTAACTCATCGCTAAAAAGAACCTTATCCAGGAAAGTAGTGTCTTCACTCACTTTATCTAGCATTATTCTACTAAACTCAACTCGAAATCTTGAGGACAAAGGCCTTGATGCAGGCATATGGATGATATCGATGGTACCTATGCTTGTGAATAATCCTTTGGACAGAATTTCTGCATATATCAGTTTCTGCTCCAATTTGCCGTGCACTTAAATGGGGATTTTCCTGCAACTTTAATAGAACTTCCAACTGATTCGCCTCATTGGTGGTACTTGGATTATTTATACAATTTTCACTATATTCCACTGCTCCACTTGCTTCAAACCGTTCTCTTAGTGTGTAAAATGTTTCCGGCCTTGGATGTCGCATATTAGAGTACCGTTGCTTATAAATGCGAGATGCTAGGAAACTATTTCTTTGGGCTTCGCCCAAACCGAACACCATATTCACCATTTCTTCTTTAGAAGAATTAATTTTCACGTTTTTATTATAATGCTCACAAATCTAATTTTGACAGTTTATAACTAATCAACAATTTATTGGTTGGATGATGCGATATTTTAGGGAATTAGGCCGTTCCATAAAAGACGTTAATAACCGAAAAAATAAACCTTATAAAAATTGGATCCAAACTTGCACAAATATACATTGTGATGCATTTGAAATTTCTTAGAAAACCTACAATTTGCGTTTTTGACCACCCTGTATGAGCAAAAATCAAAGTTCGAAAAAGTAACATATAAGATAAAAGCTAAGTTTCTTTTAATATAAAATTCGGTACCCCAAATTTCAAAATGGCGGACTGAGGGGTTGCCGAAGTGGGGGGTTTTTCTAGACAAAACACCTTATACCTCAGTAGCTAATTACCAAAACCCCATAGTATGTTATATGAATTTTCTTCTTTTGAATTGGTTTATCCAAATCTGCAATAAAATTAGAGGCATTCCATTTGAAAAATCACAACTTTGATATGTAGGTCGAAATTGGGACACCCTTTATAATGGCCAATATTTTAGAAATGTGCCCTCAAATGTTATGTATAACATCTCATAAATTTTCTCAAAATGTATTTGTTTATGAGTAATATTCCGTCCGCACATGGATGGGCCATCCTGTATACACAAGAGTATTAACGAAATCTTGAATTTTTTGCAACAAAAGGTGACAGATTTGTTTCAAAATGTGTATAATAACGTATGTTTTCCTAATATCGTAGTGAATCTGTATAATTACTCACAAATGCGATATGTATGAATTTGTTTAGAAGAAAAAACGTAACCCTTCGTTTTTCGCATAAAAATAAGAATTATCTTTCGGAATGGTTTATGATTCATATCGGCAAGGTAAACTTGTGTATTTTGCTATAAAATGCCCTTTGAACAAACCCTGTATATTGCTCAGTAAACTAGTAGTGATGGCCGGAAGACAGGTGTTTTGCGATAAACAATTAGAAATTCGCAAAAAATACTTGGCCAATCGACTCCAATTTTGTTGTGATTATTTAGAAGTACGAAGCCTACGGATTTGAAGAATTTTAACTAGCTGCGTAAAATTATCCTCGCATTAGCAACAAGTGCCAAAACCTGCATTTTGCCTCGGTTTTCGGCCATAACTTCTTCACTATTAGTTGGATCTTCTTACGTGTAGTCTCATTCTGTAGGTCTCATAAATATCTAAAAATCTTAGTTGAAATTTTTTTTCGTTCCTGCCAAGACTTTCAATTGAATCTCAAAAACACATTTTCTCATTCTTTGTTGTCGAAAAAAAATGTTTCCACAAAAATTGGTGTAGGTACCCATTTTATGCGTAAATGTTTTAAATACCCCCTTGAACAACTTGCAGTTATATCGCAAACCAGGAGTATTTTCGTCTAATGCGATTACACTAAAATGTAACATGTCATACATCGTTGAATTCGTATAAAATGCTATCAGATACAGGCTGTACTTTTTTCGGACCATATAAAGAAATAAAATTGATGATGGTTTCTCAAAACCGAACCGTCGGGCACAAAAACACCATCATGTAGTGCCTAAACAGTGCTAATGGTAAAGTTTCATTAGCTTTTTAATATTTCTCAAAATCAGAAAAAATAAATATGATTATGCCAAATTTTAGTGTGTCCCAAATATCTCAGTAAGTCATGAAATCTTTACAAATTTCTCAACGCCATGTAAATATGCATAGGATCCTTATCTTGGACACCCTATATATCAACGGGCAAGGCAAGCTGGTAATTCTTTTGGTATAATGTCTATAGTTTCCGAGTTATCACTAACCTCCCAGAATTTAATTGCCAATATGGCGACAGGTGGTGCCGCCAGCAAATATTATAACTCTAATGACGCCATATCGATTCCAGAAACAGTCACCAAATGAGTACAACCCTAACACCAGCAACCAACCAAGGAACTCGATGTCCAACGAAGAACCACCGAACCCGGGTCTGCGGCGAATGTCGCGACGGGTGTCTGGAGACCGACCCTATCTAGCCAACATAGGACAGCAGAGCTCCATCGATCATTTCGATCACTACAAAAGGCCGCCTAGTAGAGATTCCAGTGTAGATAGGTAAGGTTTTATCATAGAATTGGTAACCCAGAAGCTACACTCAGGCAAACTCTCCAGTACAATTTTCAGCGTCCGACACAAGCGATCAGCTACTTCGCACAGGTTCTTTACACTGGATTTTACATAGTCCCGATCAGTCACATATAGCAGACCAGATCGGAGCAGCGCATAGCAAGGCAACATCATATTAGCTTGTATGGATGAGACTGTATACCGGGTGTTCCAAATTCGACCCTCACCATTGGGATCCGCTTACAGGGAGGCAAAGTTGCGAATTTAAGTAACTAACAAAATGCAGTATATAAACACTCGCATACCTTCAAAGAGAGGCAGAAGAAACCGAATTTTCTCAAAATCGTTTTAATTTTTTCCTCGCTTTATTTGTAGCGGAATTTAATATTGGATGTTTGCGCTGGTTTTTAATTCTAATTTCAAAAATGCATTATATGTCATAAATTGACATTGTCAAACCTCAGTTCTTCCAAATAAAGAAGTTCCTAGGTAGTCCTTGAAATTATCAGTCACTGGTTTCGTATACCAAACCAAACCTCAAACTGAACATAGTAACACAGTTTAAAAGACTGAGAAGAAGAGAAATAAATCGAGCAGTGAGCAATGTACAGAGAAGAGTCTGGCTGGCTTACAAAATAACGGACAACACTTTGAACATCTGATATGATTTAACTCTGTTCATTTATGATTATTATTGTTATTACCATCAATAACATTTTAATTTTGTGTTTATATTTTACCATACCTTTTCTTCCGTTATATTTTTCATCCAACTAAGGAAATACATCACTGAATTTAGGACTGAAAAGTCTATCTAAATGTATAAAATTTCAATATAAAATCCTTATGAAAAAATAGTGGTGATGGGAGTCGAAAGAAGAAACCTCTTATTGAAAATTTGACTAAGCCATCTTGCAGAAGAGAATAACTAACTAGGATAACATACAATTTATTTTGGAATCCCATCTCAATTAAAGTCAGGAAAAAATGAAAATGATTTTGGGATAAATATGGTATACGAAACATTCTGATAATTTCAAGGCCTACTTAGGAAATTCTGCTTTTTTTAAAATAACTAAGGTTTGGCAATGTTGATATATGACGTATCATACATTTTTGAGATCAAAATTGAAAACCTTGTTTACCTGTGCAAAAACCCAACATGGCGTCCATAATTAAAAATAAAGCTGATGCTGAAGGACAAGAGGCGAAACGTCATATTGAAATTCTAATTATGCCATCTTGTAGACGAGAAAACGTGGAAATGTTAACTGTAATTTATTTTAAAATCCCACTACACATAAAGGTGGGAAAAGATTAATACGGTATTGGGAAAATTCCGTTTTTCCGTCTGTTCCGGAAGTACTTTCAATTTTGAAACTTTCTAAGCGGCATTTTGTTGATTGCCCAAATACGCAACATTGCCCTCATTTGAGCGACTTCGTATCTCTTACAGTTTCCGAGCTCCCAATGGTAAGGGTTTTTTGATAACCCTCTAAATTTATTTCTTTAGCCGCAGAATCTTGCGAAACTATGCAATTTCGAGAATTATATGAGAACTGAATAGAAAAAAGTTGAACCAAGTAGGTTGCCTCAGTACTGCCCGCACATTAATGACTATAATTATATGTACTCTCTTATCGTACATTACAGTCAAGACAATCGAATTTTGCAAAGTTCTTTATATTAAAATTGACCAAGTGTGGCTCAAGGTCATTTTAGCTACATAGAAACTCTAAGCGTTGTCAGCGATATATGCAACCATAGAAGGCATGTCTGGTTCCATAACGTTCGAACAACCTATATTTATACTACGTCCCTAAATAATCAGAACGTAGAAAAGCGTCAAATAACAAATTTTCGCATTTTTTAGGTACGATCCTCATGAACTCCTGTACTACATCAAAAAATAATCAGCAACTCCGAAAACATTCAAAGTATTGGCATTAAAGGTATTCTATCGTTCACATAGCCGTGGTATTGTGTCAAAATTGTATTAGATGATCAGCAACTGCTGTACTATAGGAATCGAGGACGTCGTAGCTTCTTCGCTGGAGTTATTTTTGATGTCCTTGTTCATATTCAAAACAGTCATCCAGATACAGCAATTGTTTGATTTATAATGTAATCTAACACTTGATCGATGCAAAGGTCAACGCAGCTAACAGCGCTGAAAACCTAATCCGACCCTGTACCGCTGTGTCCGTCGCAGCTTCCAGCTGAGGCGAACGCGTCGACAGCTCGGGTTGTATTGGTGCTCCCTGTGCTAGAGCCAGAGTTACCAGGTGGATCAAACGGAATTCCCCCTGACCAAGCACAAAAATCCTCCAGATTTGCAACTTTTTTAAAAAAATCCCCCATATAATATGTCAGTGGTCGCTGAGGGGACAAGGCGAGTAATCGACTAGTTCTTTCTCCAGGAACGCTTCTATTTTTCTGTGTACTTTTTTTGTATGTTCAATAGATTCCTGCCCACCTCCTGCTCATTATCAAACATGTTTTGTGGAGATGGGTGCGACATTTGGAATAAAGCTGCAAAAAGATAAAATTTTTATTTAGTAGTGGGCAGTTTTTCGTAGTTAAAGATGTAATAAAATACCCAACAATTTCATTTTCCCCCAGAACATTTCATCCCTCCAAAATTCCCCAGGAACGTTAAAATCTCCTAAATTTGTGAGCAAATCTCCCAATACGGCAACCCTGCCTAGAGCCTGTGATGCTCTACGTGCGCTCCCGTCTGAAAAATATTAGCCAGAGTGATTCTACTGGACCGTTTTACGATCGTGCTTGATCTAAATTTGATTTCAGGTACTCCCGAGCAACAGGAAGACTGAGCAACGCGATGAACTCTCGACAGCCGAGCGTCGACCGAACGACAGGGGCAGCGCCAGGGGGGATGCGTCCCTCAGAAACGCCCGATCGGACGCTGAGGGCGCCCTCTGCCACCAGAGGCACCACTCCAGCGCCGCAACTGAACAACCCAAACCCCATGGCAGCCGGTGTCAAGAACGGATCTGTACTTACAGGTATAGTAGTAGTAGTAGTAGTAGAAAGATTTATTTAGCACATTTGGCTACATAAACAGAATAATTGTAAACTACTACTAAATAACTAGTAACTTCAAACCATATGATGTAAATGCTGGGCAACCTATAATTGTAGATTTAACAAGTGATTTCTTAATTTTACTTTAAATTTTGTCAAAGTTTTCTGGTCTTTTATCTCCGAGTATAATTTATTATATTCAATCAACCCTTGATGGAACACAGATTTGTAGCATATGTTATACTTTTTGGTCACTAAATGGAAGTCATCTTTATTTCTGGTATTATGTAAATGATGGTCGACATTTGATGATGTTAAATTAGTTAGACTTGATGGAAATATATAATTTTTTACTCTATAAATGAATATCATTACTAGATATTTGATAAACATTTTTACATTTAGCCATTTTAATTTGCAAAACATTTGCCTAGTTGGAGTACATTTATCTTTATTCAGTATTATTCTCATGCACTTATTTTGCAAAATTTGCAGTCTTTCAAAAATGGAATTATTTACTAAATATAGACTAGTCGAACAGTACAAGAAATTTGGAAGAATGATGGTATTATAGATAATTTTTCTGCTATATGAACTCAGACATCCAGAAACGCTCAATAAATATCCCACTTTACTACTAATCTTATTTATAACTTTTTCATAATGAATATAAAAAATTAATCGAGAGTTAACAAAAACCCCCAGATATTTAAAATTTTCTACAAATTCAATATCTTCACCATCAATATTCAGTTGAACATATGTACATTGTTTTTTTTTTCGATTAATAAGGCTTTCATTTTACTTGTATTTAATTTTAGTCTGTTAGATGCTAACCATTTTGAGACAAGTTTCAAGTCTTCATTTATATAAGAGATACCAGTCTGAATATTTTTAGCATTTATATAAATCATAGTGTCATCGGCGAAAATCTGAATTTTGCATTTTTTGACTATGGCAGGTAAATAATTTATGTATAAAATAAAAAGAAGTTGTCCCAGGATACTGCCCTGTGGAACACCCAACGTATTTTCAATTTTTGATGAAATAGTGTCATTAACTTTTTCTAAACCAATCTAAAACATTTCCTGATATACCACATGCCTTCAATTTACTTAACAAAATATCTCTATCAATCTTTTCAAATGCCCTCTTCAAATCCAAAAATACTGCTATGACAACTTCTTCTGAGTCTACGGCTCTTCTCCAATTCTCAGTTACCAACTGGAAAGCCGGTTTTGTGGAATATTATTTTTCGAAAGCCTGCTTGCGCCTCCACTAAAATTTTGTTTTCTTGTATAAACTGCATTAATTGGTCATGTACTATGGACTCTAATAATTTTTCAAAGTCTGGTCACATTTACTGGTATCATATCGCTGCATCTTTTAGAATTTTTTATATTGGGAACTGGTGTTATTGTAGAGCATTTCAAATTTTCAGGAAAAGAACTGCTTCTCAGTGAACAATTGATCCAATTTAAAACAGGATATCCCAAAATTTCTAAACAGTTTTTCCGCACGTTTTTAGTAGTGATTTCGGCACAGTTGATATTATGGTTCCTTAAAAAATTTCAAATTCTTAATCGCCCACAATCCTTCCTAATATCAGTCAAGTGTGCAGGGTAGAGGTAACGGCAAGTCAAGCGTGCCGAGAAGGACTAGAAAAAAGTGGCGTCAAGTAGGTTGACTCTGTTCGTCCTACGCAATTTTGGGCAAATTGACTTTGTATAGTATCTGAGTCAGTGGCGCTACCAGAATTTCCGTCTGGAGAGGGTAAAGTGGTAAGGTGCGTTTTCTAGATACTGTCGCCAAATATTAAAAAAATCATAAAATATTTTACACAAAGACCTTATAGGATGTTGCTGTGAATATGAGGCCTCAGAAAAAAGTCTCAGTATTTTTTGGTAAATAACCCTTTTTAAGTGTGTCCAACGAGGAGTTTAAAAAAGTCACCTTTAATGCTTTTGTCATCTATGAGAGGGAAGTGAATAGATAATATAAAATATTAGCATAAAAACCAACCACTCCAGCTTCAAATTGATTTACTTTGCATATTACATAATACTTGATTGCTAACTAATAGTGAAATTTGGGACTCCTGATGGTGCTTAGTTATAGATTGTGACTGAAACGGAATTGCACAGCGAGTGAAATAATACTGAAACTAAACGGGAAGCGAATGACGAATGATGAATTATCATGATAAATCTGAAATGTGGAATCTACGCTTTTTTAGACAGGTAAGATGGTTAAAGGGTAGTCAGATGCACAGAACGTGATGTTGTTACAGACATTTATTTTTGATGTATACATTAATTTTATATATCGACAGCTCAAGACATCTGCGGAGGGAGGGGGGGGTGATGTAATTATCCCTTTTATCAATAGCTTAAAAGTGCCACCGCTGATCTCTGACTCACCTTTTGTATGGTCTGAGTATCTTTATTGTTTGCCGGTACCCTAGCATAAATCAGACTAGAATTATATACAATATCTGAATAAATTTTCTTACGTTCTGGTACGTTTACTGTAACCCTTACAGCTGATCATATAATATAATGAATACAAATGGAGAAAAATTATTGTGAGTTAATTATTATAATTTGAAATAATCGAGGATAACCTTCAGACCCCTGGCATTATTTGTTTGAGAAAAAGGTACTAAAAATAGATGAGATTCTTCATTCTACAAAACATCTTCATATTCGTAGAAGATGGGTGAAAGTCTATTCGTTGTTTCTCACCTGAATAACTACAACCCTAATGTTGCCTATCTGATTATTCATATTAAATAAATTATATTGTCCTTGTAGTCGAAACTGTTACAACGCCGGGGCATCGATGACCTCTTCCCAGCTGTTTAGGTAAACATGTGTAGAATTATTGGGGTCAGTTATAAATATACCCTCCCCCACGTTTTCACTTTCTCAGCCACCACTGAACCGATTTTAAAAAACTTCAAAGCTTTTTCGCCCTTGGCATAGTAGTCTTGTGTAAGAATTCATCCAAACCTGAGTTATAGTTATAGACGAATTTTAGAAACTTTTCGCGATTACAATGCTTTGTCGTCAATAGGCGTGGTAAGTCAAATTGCATCCTTCTAATGAAATTTACCTCTGTGTACAATGTTTTGTGCGTCTGCAGTTACGCGGACAGAAAAAGTTTTGAGGTGGGTCACGTTAACCCACGTCACAATTTAGGAATCATGAATGTCTCTAATGTGCTATTTCTGAAATTTTCAGGTGGTGGCGTGAATCCTACACAACCCCCATTCGAGGAAATTATCCTGAAGAAACGAGGCTTGGGTCAGGACATCGTGCCTTCACCGAATCAACCCAAACGGACTGAAAGCTTATTCATCCCTGGACAACCTGTAGCGCCTGTCGCAAAAGTCAGCGCGGTAAGTCACATAACTATAACCAAATCTAACCTATGTATGTACCAAGGTTTTTGGCATTATGAATAAACAAAAGGCGGAAGCTTTAATTTTTCACCTAACTGGTCTAGACGACAATGACCACGTCTCAAGTTATATATATATATATATAAAGTGTAACTATAGTGGCGAAGTTTAGCAATATGCTACACTAACACTTAACCACTGAAGTTAAATATTATGTTGTTAACAGTTAACAGAAAAAAATGCAAAATATATATAACAATTCACTTATAACCCATATGAGAAGTGGAAAATGAGATATTTTGTGTGCACATACTGCTACTTTAAAAAGATCTATGAAATATTAAAATATAAAAAGTTAATCGTTTAAATAACTCAACATTGTAGCGGAAACGTGGTAATCTCATGGACTTAAATTTACTGTCCAAAGAATTATATATTGCTGCAACGTTATATGAGAAACTTCGTTGGATCAGAGATGTTGTATGCTTCGTGATTCTGATAAAGTGCTTGTCTCTAATAGCTCTATCGTGAATGGTGTTATTAAAAATTATTTTATCACATTGGTATTCTGGCTTAAAATTAATATTATAAACGTCATGGATCACTTAATATTTGTATTTAAAATATTGAACAAATAACAAAACACAATAAAAACTAAGACAGAAAAAATATTTTTATCTTACAATTAAAAGCTTAGACACCTGCAAACTCAGAAATATCTTCATCAAAATTTATATTTTGTATTGCCTCATGTTGGATGGCTAATATACCAAGATCGCTAAGCCGCGATTAAGTCAGTGTTGCCCGCAAATAGTTTTTTATTAATTTTAGTTTACCGAAACTCCTTTCACATGAAGCTACGGACACGCAAACGGTCATGAACAATTTTAGTGCAATCATAAGATTTGGAAGAGATTCTGTAAAATCCCATTCTACAATAAACTTTAAAAAATCTAGAGATTCCCAATCAGAAACTGTAAAATTAGCGGCTTTTAAGTGTTTTCGCAGTCTTGGTATCTCCAAAAGTAATTCTGTTTCTGAGACCTCATCATAAAAATCAGTAAATTTGGCTGTAGCTAATTCCAGATCTTCAGTCTCCGCCTAAAGCAAAGTATTTGTTTGTACGATCTCGAACAATGAAGCTAAGTCTTGAAGAGACTTCGATCTTGTCATGAGTTCAACTCTGAAAAAGTTGAGTCACCGGATGGGAGTCACCCCAAAAAAGGTGACACCCGATGCGGAACACCCCCCCCCTCCTTGCTACGCCACTGGCTCCGGCCATCACGGTCAAATTACAGATAATGGTGATGAAAATATACTTATCTGTCTTCCAGATAACAGTTCGTTTAATTTTTCTTTCATTCGCTGCTATACAAAGTGTTGCAGTAACAGTCTGAACGGTTCGGTACCCCTCCAAGACAGTCTTACCAGAATTGGTAGATCTAACGATTTTAGTCGTATTCTACTGAACTACCAATTTTAGTATGAAATCTACCCCCAAAATTTCTCAAATTTTTAAATAGTATATATCTAATATAATTCAACGATACGTAAGAACAGAGCACTTTGCTATCACTCCCTCCCCTGCAATGGAATCTTCGACTTCTGAGATTCGGTGCAACCCTGCATTCGTCAATTTTTTAAATAGTAGAAATTTAGCATTTGATGCTTGCCTCTATCCGCTCTTGAATTTTCACAACCTAGTGGAGCTGTAGCAATGCGCACCCTCGACAATTTCGTTTCTTGGTTCAATGTCTATGGAAAAATTTCGAGATCGCGAGGAAGAATGCAATTTCAAGATGGTACCACGTAGAACCAGCAAAATTCTGTACCGCCTGGGTTATGGCATTACCTCCCCCAGAAGACTCACAAAGTGACAAGCGTTAATGAGGCTATCTTTTGTTTTGATTATACGAGACAAGTCATCTTTGCAAAATCATCTTGAAACGGGCTAAACGTCCTCCGAGAATGCGAAAACCTACCCAGAACTGTTGTAACATACCGGTTGACTGGAATTATCTACTACTAATACTGCATCTGCATTGATTATGGTTCCGAAATGCGAGAAATTGGCATTAGTAGTCGAAGATTGCTTAACAGTGAACTGGCACGTTGCGACAATAGTTCTGTGCGGGTTTTCGCATTCTCGGGGACATTTGGCGTTTTCGGGATGATGAGCGAAGGTGACGTGTCTGGAACATCCAAAACAACTTATAGCCTCATGCTCGCTTATCGCTTTGGACAGGACATATTTTGGGAGTGGGAATATCTACCCCAGGCAATCCTGGACTTTGCTGATTTTACGCGGTGAAGAATTTTAATGATGGATCGTTTAAGCTGTTGTCGCTATACTGTATACTAGAGAAAAAGAAACAACTGTCACTATGAGAACAGAAACGTCGTAACGGCCGAAAACTCAGTAAACAGTGATTTATAATTATATATATACAGGGTGACTTTGAAGTTGAGTCATTAATTTTCAGATAATGATTGTAGAAGGAAGATAAACCAAAATATGTGTGTAAAAATAAAAAAAAAATAAAAAAAAATTTTTACCTTGTTTTATAAAGTATCCTCCCGACAAGTATTTCAGTGCGGACCTGTATTTGATCGTGAGGTCCTCTGTGAAGTCTTAAGTCACCTGATTCACGAGCCCGTTGTACTACATTAACAAAGGCACGAGGGGTTGGTTGCACTCGATTGGGAAACCGATCCGCATAAACATGTGCCATTTTTTATTTCGTTTGAGCCACGCAACAGACACTATTCACACGCGACTGACACTGATTGTATGTATAACTGAACTGAATGAAATAATTGTAAAAAACTCGTTCCAAATTCTTTCGCTTTTTTGTTTCCGATGCGATGAACCGATAAGGTGGATTATATCCGTTGTTGCCAAACACAAGCACATGACATTATTATTGAGACAGGGCGGTACTCAAACTTCCAAAGGGCTATAACTTTGTTACTTTAATTTTACCAGAAAAATGGTAAAGGAAAAAAACATTTCTTTTGATCAGATCTACTCACTGTTAAAATAAATGACTCAACTTCGAAGTCACCCTGTATATACAGGGTGCGGCAGAGAGGACGGACGTTTTTGGGGTGGGTAGTACTCTCCGCCTCCGTCTACGAGAGAGGTGGGGAGGGTGCCGTTTGACTCGTGAGATCCTAGCATTATTTTACCAGTTGTCGTTATGGAGCCTTGGACGGTGGAGCACCGCGTTTTCGCCTATGAGTGACGAAGCCCACTTTCACCTAAACAGCATGGTTAACCAGCAGAATTGCCGTTATTGGGCTAATGAAAATCCGCAACAGTTACACGAAAGACCGCTGCACAGCCCAAAAGTAACGGTTTGGTGCGCTGTATCGCAAACTTTCATCATTGACCCTTACTTCTTCGAAGACGGTAAAGGTCGTGATGTTACCGTGAACTCAGAGCGCTACGTCGATATGATCACCAACTTTTTTTCTCCCTGAATTACGACGGCGACGTGTGCCAATCCGACGTGTGTGGTTCCAGCACAATGGGGCGACCGCCCACACAGTCCGAGCATCCATGGACGTTATGCGCAATCTCTTCCTTGGTCGCCTTATTTCCAGCTTTGGTAAATGTTCATTGGCCTCCTCGGTCCCCAGATTTATCCATATGCGATTTTTTCTTATGGGGACACCTCAAGGCTAGAGTATACGCGAACAAGCCCCGAACTCTGGACGAATTGATGGGCGAAATTCGCGTGGCAGTCGCCCAAGTTGAGAGAGCGATGTTGGAGAGAGTATACGCGAACTTCCAAGAACGCCTCCAGCACTGCATCAACGATTTCGGCCACCACATGCCTGATGTGATTTTCCACACTTGACTGTCTCAAATGCTATTTCCTTGTGAACCTGATTCCATCAATAAATTTGTTTTCGAGTAAAAATTAACTATTTTATGATTTTTTTAAAACCGTCCATCCTCTCTGCCGCACCCTGTATATATATATATATATATATATATTATTTAGAGCAGTTTTAATGACGCTTATAGGAGACATTACACTGATGTAAGCAAATACAGAATCGGGCTACTTCGCAATTTTATTTTGGCTCTAAGTTTGAGATATGGCTCGCTTAATCCTGTACATCTTATTCCTGAATCATTGTCCATTCTAATTTAAGACAAATATTTTTAGTATTTCAGGTTCACGTAATAATTTGGGTCGCGTAGCCTCGTAATCGTTTTAAAGGATGGGAATAGGAATTTCGTATTCTGTCTCACATGTTTTGACATTATTCTGGATTTTGGCATTAGTATTTTGGTATTTTTAGACGATGAAAAGTAGCAGAAAGAAGAATTATTTACGATCAACCACAGTGTGAATGTAAATGTAGAAAAACACAAGGTTATTCTAAAAATGGTAGTGTTGTATGAGGAGGGGTGAGGGTGGATTAACTTGAGCAGCGCATCTGAAAGCGAGTGCTAGCGATTTAAAAATCGTGTCAAGTAGGCTAACTCAGCTAACTCAACGTGACGCTGTCATCACTTCATACAAGACTATGTTCAGCACAGGTTAGATCCTATCGAAATAACACAGCTCCATAGACCTTATATCCTAGATAGAGGATAGTTGCTATACTTTCGCTCGTTATTCGAGATACCAAGCTATGGTGATGAGTTGCAAAAAAGGTACGACACAGCTGTCTGTGGTTGGACAGATGAAAGCAGAAGGTTTAGGTTGTACCCTCTAAGAAAAAAGTTAGCTACGAACGTGTGAAACAGAGAAATTAGACGGATCAAGTCCTTCAAACGGGTTTGAACAGTTCGTCCATAACATTCCTTCCCTGCTCTACCCGAGGAGCCCCTCATCAGGCAACGTGGCGTCGCCTCTCCCCAATATTTGAGGGCAGGATGGGCCACAGACTGCAGAGCGGCACGTTTGCACGCAGGCATGCCTGTCGAGAACATTTTTCTATCGATCTAAGTTTTAAAAACAATGAAGAGCTTGGGGCAA